TGATGACCTGCGTCCTTAATTAATAACCAACATGCCAGTGCCTTGCAATTTGCAACATGTAACTTGCAACCTGCAACTCATCTATGTACATATGCAGGAATATGGGTGAATGCTCTGAATGTACACAGAGGCAAAAGTTCGAATGTGTTCAATTATTCGCAGTATTTGATATGAGAACGATTTAGTCAATATAAGCAATCTTCAAAAAGCAAATAAGATTGCTCTAGTCTACAGAGCTAGACTGGGAGAAAATCTTATCCAATCTTCTTTAAATTGTATTAAGAGATATCGATCAGGAATATATATGCTTTATGGGATCGACGATGCTTACCATTACCTCTTACATAGTTTTATTTAACTATTTCTAAATTTTTTAGGAGCTCAGAGTCAGAATTATTAGAAATAAGTTATAAAATACCCAATATAATTTAGTTTTATTTGCGTAAATCCCATTGATGACATTTTATTTCAATATTTCTTCACACAGATACTGAAGGTAAAATTGATTCATTTCCTAGTGTTAAAATATAAGGCCTCTGTCTATGCAGCTCACTGCTTCAGTACTTGCTTATTTCTCTCTGTGTATGAGTGCTACTCATCTTGTGCTAAAAGTGCTGGCCCATGGTTCGATTAGCACATAGCACAAACCAATTTTGGATTGGAATGCTTCATTAAGCATACTTCCACGTGCATTCAAAATTCAACTAGACTAGGAGAGAGTCAGAGAAAGAGACAGTGACAGAGAGAGAGAGGGAGAGAGTGAGAGAGAGGAGGAGTGGAGCATTGTCGAAAACCTGCACAGGCAGCAAAGCTTGTTAGGCATGTCAATCATCAGCCGTGTGTTTACAAAGAGTTGTAGGCCGAGTAGGCATCCAGTTCCCAGTGTCCTTGTCCGATATCTGGTTCAACTTGGTGTTTAATTAAAGCCCTGTGCCAGCATACAATTCGAGCAGCAGTTGCGACTTTCGTTGCAATTATTAAATTCAACCTGTCCCGGCCATATGACCTCAAGTGTGGCTTTAATTTTAGAAGAAGCCGCCTCGCCCTCTCCTCTAGCAGGCCAACACACTCTTGGCCTGGCCCAAATCTCTCCCATCTGCAGGGCAGTAAGTGGTCGTAGGCAGCAATGAGTTGCCAGCGTTGTCTGCTCTTTGCTGAGCTTTTTAATTTTAATGAGATCTCACTGGCAGCCTTCTAGGCTATGTGCCCGTCCTGTCCTGCCCTGTCCTCGCCTGACAGGGCCAGAAACCGTTGTTAGCCACGCCTTGCCACTAATTGAGGCAGCTGAGAATGTTTCTGCGCTGACTTGGCTCGCCCAGCCTGACAATTTTAATTACAAAAATATGCATATTTAAAGATTTAAACGAACTGCGAACAATGCATGGCACCAACTTACATAAGTTAGAATACAAAAGACGAGAGCGCTCGACTAGCTAGATGCTCTGGGAAATGGGAGCAGTCATCAAAATAATATATACAAAGCATACTTATAATTTAAAGTCTTTAGTTTTCATAGTCTCTATAGTCTTTTTTTCATACAGATTGCGAAATCGAATTGGCTATCGATTCTGATCAAGAATATATAAACTTTATGGGCTTGCAGATGCATCCATCTGCCTGTTACATTATTTCTTACAATTTCATTATACCCTTTTTATAAATTTTGAACAAGCTCAGAGCGTAATTATGAAATGACAGCCAACTGATATGAATATAAATGATGCACTCGGCGAAAAAACGATATTGAATAGAACTTGAATTACAATTACTTGTTGAAGATTCTAAAATAAATAAAAATCACTCTATAATTAAAAATGTACCCATAATGCAAGGGGAATTCTATGTGAAGAATGATTTCGATTGATTTTGATAACGCTTTTAATGTTTATTACAATGTTTTCCTGAGTGTACTAAATATATACACACAAAGTCTTGCAAAGCATAAAGAATGTTATGCGACTCCATTGGCTGTAAAAACATGAGCAAACCGAAAAAAAAAAATTGCTTGAAACCTTGGCTAATACTAAAAGCCACCACTCAACTCTAGCCAGGTTTACAAACAGAGCTGGGCAAGCTGGGGGTGGGTGGGGAGTAGAGGTATAAAAACCACAAAACAGATTGATACATTACGTGTGCCATCTATTTTCAATGGATGCAGTCCTGCAGGATCTGGACGAGGTCCTGGCTGCTGCCGAAACTGATTGATATGCTGAATTCGCCAGCCAATTCGAGTTTGAACAAATTGGATTTTTGCATTTTAATCAGATAAAAAGCTTTACATATTTTGTCAGAGAAGCTGAATATATGCATGTACACCCTAAACCAATTAAAAATGCGTAAAATGGGTATAATATAGTTGAGCAAGCGTAAGTAACAGGCAAAGGAAAGCAGCTCCGATGACTCAAAGTGTATTCTGGATCAGTCGAGCTTAGCCAACTGTATGAACAAGACGATCTCCGAGAACTCAGATGGAATTTATTTCATTTTACCGACTATACACTAATATTATAATATATATGTATATATATATATAAATTGATATTCAAGAAATTCAAGAAACAATTGCAAATATTTTGCCCGCCAATTGATATATAATTTACTGTAAGAATTTCTTTAATATCAGATAAGAATTTCTTGACCAAAACTTATTTTTAACTGCTAAGTACAGGCTATCTCGCAGTCGAGCTCTCTCCATAGAAGCACCCTAGCTTATTTTAGACTCGAATCTGACCGAAATGTGTTGTATTTACTTTAAATGAAGTGTTAAATCGGTTTCTGAGCATTCAAATGCATTGCATATGTATATTTAAAAGTGCCAAAATAACAGAAGCAATCGATTTATCCACCAAAGTCTAAACAATATGTAGAACAAACACAAGTCGCAAATTTACTGAAGAAGTTAAATTTAGTTAGCTTAGTAGAGCATAGCTGGACTTAAGCCAAACCTCAATTTGTATACATGTAAATAAATATTTACTTGTCTTTGTCAAATATGAAGAAGATAGTGCAACAACAATAATAAACAAATTGCAGGAAAATCTGAAACCAAATGCAGTTCAACGGAAATATTTGGCGGTGACCAGCGCGGACAAAGCTAGAAAACAGTCAGCAACCGTTGGCTTGAATAGCGGCCAACAACTGAAACGCAGGACAATGGCGTTGCATTTCCGTTTCCGTTTCAACAGCCGGACGCAAATGGCGTAAATGAAAACTATTTTTCCGCGCCTTTTTCCCAATGTTTATTTTTGGGGAGCAACTGAAAATAAAAGATAAAAATCAACCCCTTTTACTTTATTCTCCGTTGGCAATGTTTTTATTCTTGACCGCTATACATTCACCAGATAAAGCAGACCAAAAACAGTATTGTCGAGCTTTAATTTCATAGAGAGCGTAGAGACCACCTAAAAACACAAAGAGGAATACAAATGACAACTGATAAGGACAAAAAAAAATGTTGTTGCTTGTTTTAACAATAGAAACGCCTGTAAAACTTAACTGTGCAACGTGAAAAGTTGAGCAAGTTTTTTAAATTGACTGTTAAAGTTTAAGTACCCTTAAATATACAGATATTAAATTTGCAGTAGTTTAAATTGTAAGACAACCGTTAATCCATTGACGAGTTAGTTTGTTTTTAATAAAATAAATATCAGAGTTATGATCTGTAGTATTTAGTCTTCTTCTTTGCCTACCCTTTCTCTATTCCTGTATCCTTTCTACCTTAGTCAGTCTCTCATTCTGTCTCCAAAATATTAAACATATTTATTTTTATTGCCTTTCTGTTAAAAACTGTCAGTTGCTCTCACTTATTCTCTCTTTCTAAATATATATATATATATATATCTCAGAGTCTATCTGTAATTTTTGTAAAATCTTGACATTATATTACTTGATGGATATCGTTTATCGAGACAGGCAAATATATACTTTTGTGTGGAATAAGTTTGTTTCCTAATTTCAGCTTAGACTTTCTAACCAATAACCAAACCATCTTTCTAAGCGTTACATTTAACTAGTTGCAACTTACAAAAATTTGAAGCATCCAATTAAATGCATTACACCTTGCAAAAAAAAAAAAAAACTATAAATTGACCCCCTCAAAAGTATTAAGAAAGAATCTTGATATGAATAAGTTTCGTTATGCTTAGACTAACTTATAACTAAGTTCAGTTTGTGCCATTTTTGAAACATTCCCTCAAAATTTAATGACACAGTTGAGTGTCATTCCTTTTTTAACATCACATTTAAGCACAAACAGACAGCAAAAGAGGATTGACTGGAAGGGAGCCTTTCCCATAAAGAGATGATCACATTAAAATACTCTTAAATATGCATTCCCCTGGCTGTCTGCACTTAAATGTTGCAGTCGAGCTCATGTCAACAACTGTTAAATGGCTCGTGCTTTTAAATGCACTTAAAATAAGTGGATCAACCAGACATGCGGCAATTAACAAACTCACAATCTGAATAACAGTCTTTAATGTATCATTTCAGAGATCAATTCAAAGCTGGAACCGGTTAAATTATTAAAAGACGGCATCGATTACAACAAAAAAATGTAAGCCAAATCATAAACTTTATCGGAATATCATACGAAATTCGAGTCAGTTTGACACACGAATATTTATTTAAAATCGAATATTAAAAATAAAATTAATTTCCTTCATTCACCAACTCCTTAGGCGACTATCTTTAAGGAAGCTACTATACTGAAATATTCACATTAAATCAGGCAGATAGATGATTATTGAATTGTCTCCCATTAAGCTCTCCAAAAAAAGTCCTAGTGCAGTTGGTGTATATGTATCATGAGCTGTAGTACCAATTTCCTTTGGCTTATACCGTGGCAGGACAAAATGGACCACTTTTTTCACTTGAGGGTCTGCGCGTTGCATGCTGCACAGTGCAACCAGCCGCAAACTGTGGCGAATGCGTTTGCATAAATTGGCTGCGGCATAAAGAACCAAGTGGATAGAAGAAAAAATTCAATTTGGATTTTGGCACAAGTGGCAGTTTTTTTTCTTTCTTTATTTTTTTGTGTGTTGCATGCAGCGGCTCGCCATTGTCATGAGTGGCAGGGAAACGGCTCGAAATGAATTCGCCACTAAGCTCGAAGCCTGCGCCAACATAAACAGAAAGCTAAGCTTCAAGCAGCAAATGCTGCTGTTGGAGTTACGCCCACAACTTGTGACCAATTTTATGGTTTACAACTGAAACTGAGCCTGAGCCAGAGCCTGAGGCTAAAGTCGAAACTGACGATGAAACTGGGGATGAAGCTGAGGCATTTTTTCCAATTTTAGTCTATCGAATCAAGAATGGAAAAAATGTAAATGGAACAAGTGAGAATTGTTATTTTAGGCACTCAAAAGATTACATACCCTTTCAGAACAGAGATATAGTAATCTAATTTTGATAGTTTTTTTCAAATTGTTATAGCAGGATTCCACTATGCCCAACATTTCGAACATTCACATTCTTTACATTTCGCGATTCCATTATGAGTCTGCGTTGGGTGCCAAAATTACCGCTTGATATAGATGAAACAGCTAATCGGTAAGGTTTTATTTGTCTTTAGAAATAATTAATTTAAAAAAGCAATTAATAAAAATATAAATATAATATTCTATTTCAGCATATTTGAGACATGCTGGAAAGACTGATAAATAAATGTATCAAAGAAAACTTAAAAAAATGCATAATTAGTTGAATGGCAAAAAATAAGTGGTAATGAAACCAATATTTTGCCGAAAAACAGTTCCTATTATTTTGAATACTTCATAAGGATTGCCCCACTAAATATAAGAAACCATATTCACATTTTTATTTCATTAGTATTTTAAGAATATGGGAACTATCAGAATAATTTTTGAATGAAAGAAAAAACTTGCCTTTTTGGCCTTATATATTTAGCTATGGCAAAGTTTAATGTTTTAGAATAAAATATATTAATTTAATATATTCCTAACATTAAAGAAAATCAAATTTTCTTTGAATGAACTTTAAGACAAGTTATACTTGTTAGACAATGGTGTAGAAACAACCATACTGTATATGCTCATTTATCATCTTCGACGTTACACACCCTATGAAAAAAAATGAATACCTTCTTGCTGGAGTACAAAAAGTAGTTGAATATGCATGCCTTCAAATGGGGGACTGAGATGTGAACATATGCAGGTGGACGGCCATGTGGGGGGCTTGGTTTGGGCTCTTTGACGCAAGGGATCACAGGAGCACAGGAAACTTTGGGAGTAACATCAATGACAGGTCAGGATAACGTTTACAGGAAGCAAAAGGCAAACTAAAATAGGCACAAAATCCAAAAAGAAACGAAAAAAAGGAAAAATGCATTGGAATAGGACGTTAAATATGGATGTGTGTGCTCTTGTGTGTGTGTGTGTGTGTGTGTGTGGGTGTGTGTGTGTGTGTGTGTGTGTGTGTGTGTGAGTTTATATTTGAGAGATAGCAAAATCGCAATTTTATGTGCTGGCTAGCAGCCCGACACTCAAAGTCGGCTTCTCCAGTTTCGAAGCAATTAAAACCAGCACAAAGCCATAAAAAGGCATAAAAGTAAGCAAATGTGAAGCAAAGGAAGAACAAAATGAAATAAAGTCCTGGAGACGCGCTCAAGCGAAATTTGGTAGGCGACTTCTGTTGGTAGCAAAGACTTTTTAATTTTGTAGCAGAATGAGCAAACGCATTTGATGAACATATTATATATTTTTGGGAAAGAGCAAACTAAGTCACAGCTAGCTAATATGATAAACTCGCAATATGTTTTGATCGTTGTTTTTACGCAAATTGCTAACTTGAATTCAAAATATGTATCGAATTCAATTACAATTAGAGCATTCGGGCAACAATGGGTCCTTTTTTGTAATAATTCTCAAAGTACATTAGAATGAGGCGTGTGTTGCAGTCAATTTCTGTAGTAAAACACAATAAATATACCTGAAGCACAACATCGAATATATTCTTACTTTCATCAGGATAAATTCGAGAAGGAAAGATTAAAATTAAACTCGATAACAACACAATCAATTTTAAGTCAAATATTTTAATCTTAATTGAAATCTTTTAATCTCTTACTTATTTTAGTGTCAAAACGTACTTCACATAAAGTCGAATATATTCCAACGTTCGCCAGAATAACTTTAAGAATGGGTAACTAGTTCGTAGAGTGACAAATAGACAGACAGCATCGGAGACCTCTGCTTCAGTGCGTAACAAGCTTCACTCTCTATAAGTGAACAATAAATGTTCAAATCAAGTAAATAGCAATTGCATAATGAGATAATAGGAAATCCTTGCTGACGAGGTAAATAATTTGCAAATTTTGCCTAATATCAGATGACTGCAATTAGATAATTTAAATTGGTTTCAGCATCTCAAAATATAATTTAGCCAAATTTGTTTGTTTTTGTTGCATTTAAAACTGGTGGTAAAATTTCATTTCAGCAAACACAGCAGCCATTGAAAAGCCGCTGAAAACTTTTTGCTGTTAAAGAAAACAAAATAATATCGATTATTAGCACAAGCAGCACACAATAAGGTTCAAACAAAAAGCACATAAAGAACAACAGTAACTACAACAGCAACAGCAACAACCACAACAAAAATGGGAACAACAACAGCAAGGACAACAACGCCAAAGTTGAAGCATCGCCAGGCAGTCAGGCGAAAAAGCAAACAAACAAAGCACCCCGGCAACAGGACTACTAAGGACATCACTGTACTAGCTAGAGCAATCGTCAGGAGATGGAGCATGTGTTGGGGAGTGGACGTGAGGGGGCGTGGCTGCAGGCGGGCAAAATTTCGTTAGCCCAATTAAAGCAATTTTGACAGCTCAACTGCGGCCGGCAGCTGCTAAAGAATCCGCGAGCGAAAATAGCAAAAGCGCCAAAATCTATACACAACACAAAAATTCATGATAAATATCTCTTCAATTTAAAATACTCGTATCAACCTCAAACTACAATCTAAAAGCGCAAATCAAGAATAGGTTTTATAAAAAGGCGAAAGAAAATGAGAAGTTGAAAGACAACACACTTGATCCAAAGTAAAATATACAAATTTTCTGATATTAAACTGTAAATTAAAATTACAAATTAGAGTGGAAAATAATAATGGTGACAGGCAAAAATTGAATTAAAATATAAAATGAAAATAAAAGAAAAATAATTATTTATTTTATAAGTAGACATAATCTACAAGTTTGTAAGTTGAGATTTTTGCAGCTATAATTACTTTGTCCACTCAGAATCGAACATTATGATTCATAAACCAGAAGCCAAAAAACTTGAGTTATGGTTCTGGTTCTTCATTCCATATTAAATAAACTTAGAATATGAAGACTTTTGACTCTTTAATTACTTTGTATTCTCTTTGAAATAGATTAAATATGTGATTAATACTCTTGATGATTAATATAAATTTAATTTTAATGGAAATCATAACTACAAATTTGATCCAAGATTCTTAATTTCAGTGTAAAGACCTAAGCTACGAATATATGGTTAATTTAAGACCTTGGACGCTCTAATTACTCAGTATGGTCACAGTTTAAGCATTAAAACAGGAGGCAACAACAAACTTAACTTAAGCTTCTTAATTGCAGACTTAATCTAACTTTATACAGTTGGCATAAAATTTTTACCGCTCTGTTTACTTTATGTAATCTTAACTTAAGCATAACTCTGTATGCTGACACTGCAAATTAAATAAGAAAATGTTAATTTCACATTAAATGAATATTGCTAAAATTATTAAAAGTGAGCTCATTAGACACGTTAAATAAGGATGTAAGTCCGTAACAGCCCAGGAACTCAGACAATCGACGCCAATGAGAGGGATGATTGCCCCGCTAGTTTACAGGATTAGCGGTGCCGTGGCAACCCTAAGCGGATTATCATTCACAGCAGAAGGGAGCAGCAGCCAAAGCAGGAGGAGGTGGGGCGGGAGCAGCGTCTGAGCCAATCTGAATAAACAATGCCACACAGCAATGTCTGTCTGCATTCTCTGCCAGGACCCACAAAAGGGTCCATTGTTGGCACTTCAACAGCACCGCTACGAGGAGAGAGGGAGGGACAGACAGACAGACAGATAGAGAGAGAGAGAGACAGAGAGAGACAGAGAGAGAGAGAGAGAGAGAGAGAGAGAGAGTGGGGAACAACAGTTCTGTCATGTGAGCAAGTTGCTTGACTAAAATCAGTTTCAAAATTTAACGGCATCAGCATATTGTACCCCGTATTTGATAAGCATTTCACAAAGGGCGTATATTAAGTATACGCATTTAATATACATTTAATATGTATATAAATTGTGCACATTTTTATTTATAATCCGAGCTATGTAACAGGCAGATGGAAACATCTAACACCGATATAGCCCTGTCTGCATGAATAAAGTCAAAGAGCTAAAGACTTCAAAAATATTGAATACAAATTCTCGTTTACCATAGGCAGACAAAATTTATTTCAATTTATCGATAACTGCCCCCATTTAAGAACATCAATACAAATCGATTTCCGATAGCAATAAGAGACACTGTTGCAAAGATATATCATTTGGATTGATTTATAATACACTCAAAAGCATTTGTGTTGTGAGTCAGATGAGTTCAGCGTATCTCTGATTCGAGTTTTCTCGAATTAATCATTCTGATTTGCTTCACGTTCCAATATTTAATTCACAACATGCAATATATTTCAACATATTCTGGTTATTAGTAAAATCTACACACGCAGAGAGTATCTAAAAATCAAGCTCGCTCTTCCTGCGCATTTGCACATGCTTATTCTGTGTTTGCAATTTATACTTTGAGTTAGTTACCAAGTCCTCAGAGTGTAACGAAGCTAATTACTTGTAGTAGTTTTGGGAAATAGCTACATTTTCCAGCTAAACCAAACTAATGAGTATTGCTTTTCATAATTACTGCATTCGCATTTGAAAGCGAAGTTTCATGCAAATGCAAATGTTGCTGTATTTGCATTGTTGTCTATTTCTGTGGCCGTTGTTGTTATTGTTGTTATTCTTGTTGTTGCTGTTGCTGCTGTTGTTGCTGTTGTTGCTGCGGTCTGCTCGTTAGCTGCTGCATATTCAATGGTTGAAATTATTGTGTACACGCAATCAGCTGTGTAATGAAAGGCGAACTCGTGTAATCAATGTGCAGAGGTAAAAGCCATAAATCTGTTGGCCCATTCGCAACTCGCGCTGGTCGCTTCGTTGGCTCGCTAATGATTTATGCGACTGTGAGAGACAAGAAGACAAATGCCCAAGTAATTGAATTACAAAGCCAAAAACGTAGATAACTTGCTGAGTAAGCCATGCGCACTTATGCAAATTGAGCACGGCCAATGAGCAGGCACAAGTGCTGATAAGGCCACTTGGCCAGGCCAAAGCAGCAGCAACAACAGCAACAACAATAAAACGCCCTGATTGCAAAATCAATGGCTCAAAACGCCAAACGCAACAGCGCAGCCAAAAGTCAACTTAGCGGCATTGATAATGCTTCTCCAACTAGCTGCCAAGTTGGCCAAGCAACCAAAGCAGCACTTAAAACAGTTTAAAATGCAAGGCTTTAAGCACGAAGCGCACAAAAGTATGCCACGGTTTCTTTGTGTGTGCTAACAGCGGAAGCGCAAATGCGTACACTGTGAGAAAAATGTGCAGTACAAGGTGGTATAAATTTAAATGATTAAAAT